CTTCGCTGGTCTTGATACTATTGCAGACCAACTGAAGCTGAACACAGCTTCAGTTTGTCAGTAGTCACCGTCTTTGTCAGTATGTCTGCCGGATTTTGGGCTCCACTGATCTTTTCAAGCTTCAAAATTCCATCTTCCAGAAGTGACCGGATAAAATGATACCGCATCTGTATGTGCTTCGTTCTGGAATGGAAAGACGGATTCTTCGCTAGATGAATAGCACTTTGATTGTCGCAGTATAAAACATTGTTTTCTTGTTTCTTGTCTAATTCATCTAAGCTTTGAAGCCACACCATTTCCTCGCTGGCTTCTGTAACAGCGACATATTCTGTTTCAGTTGTGGAAAGAGCAACTATCTTCTGCAATTGAGAAGCCCAACTCACTGCAGTACCTCCTAGAGTATATACATACCCTGTAGTGCTCTTTCTGATATCAACATTTCCTGCTAGATCAGCATCTACATAGCCTGTTAGTATTGTATCTCCACCTTTGAAACAAAGTGCTTTACCTGTGGTGCCCCGTAGATATCTGAGGATCCATTTGACTGCTTCCCAGTGTACCTTGCCCGGATCATTCATGTACATGCTAACAGCTCCCACTGCTTGAGAAATATCTAGTCTTGTACAAACCATGACATACATCAGACTTCCAATAGCTGAGACGTACGGGACCTTCGCTATGTGGGCATGCTCTTCCTCTGTCTTCGGTGACTGATCTTTGGAAAGTCTGAAATGAACACCTAAAGGTGTACCCATTGGTTTAGCATCTTGCATATTGAACCTGGAGAGTACTTTGTTGATGTACTCAGCCTGTGATAACATCAAAGTCCCAGACTTCGTGTCTCTCTTGATCCTCATTCCAAGAATCTGCTTTGCAGTGCCAAGATCTTTCATTGCGAACTACTTTGACAATTTCTGCTTCAAATTTATAATCTCTTGAAGATCTGATCCTACAACGAGCATGTCATTAACGTATAACAATAAAATAATAAAGCTATTGTCAAACCTCTTGATATAGCAACAATGATCTGCTTGGCATCTAGTAAAACAGTTGCTGCCTATAAAGCTGTCAAACTTCTTGTACCACTGCCTGGGAGCTTGTTTTAATCCATACAAGCTCTTCTTCAAACGGCATACTAGATTTTCTTTGCTTGTCTTTATGAAGCCTTCTGGTTGCTTCATATAAATCTTCTCCTCCAAATCACCATGAAGGAAAGCTGTTTTTACATCTAATTGCTCAAGATGTAAATTCTCAGCAGCTGTAATTTTCAACACCAGTCTGATTGTAGTTAATTTCACGACTAGGGAGAAAATTTCATTATAGTCAATACCTTCCTTTTGCTGAAAGTCTTTGACAACCAATCTTGCCTTGTAGCACTTGTTCCCATCATGTTCTTCTTTGATCCTGTAAATCCATTTGTTATGAAGAGCTTTCTTACCTAGTGGTAATTCAGCTAAGTCCTACGTCTGATTTGACATGAGCGAGTCAATCTCATCTTGCATAGCAGATTCCTACTTGACTGAATCCTTCACCTGTATTGCTTCGTCATAACACTCTGGTTCACCACTGTCAGTCAGCAACAGGTAGTGCAAAGAAGGCGAATAACGTTGGGTTGGCTTAGGAATTCTGGAGGAGCGTCTCACTTTTGGCGTGCTTGGTTCTTCTTGAACTGCTTCAGGGCTAGTCTGAACATCCTTTTCAGAAATCTCCTCAAATTCAGCAAATTCTTTTGTTTTAGCTTTTGTACTAGGGCTACTTGATTCTTCAAATGATCTGTCTTTGTACATCACATTCTTATTAAATATGACATCTCTGCTTCTGATGATCTTCCGATTTTCATAGTCCCAAAATCGGTAACCAAACTCATCACCACCATAACCAACAAAAACACATTTGTTAGATTTGGCATCAAGTTTACTTCTTTCAGCAGAATCTATGTGTACATAAGAGATACAACCAAAAATTCTTAAATGTGAAAGGTTTACATCTTTTCTGCTCCAAGGTTCTTCTGGTATTCCACCATCCAAGGGAACTGGGGGTCCACGGTTGATTAGGTAGGCTGCGGTATTGATAGCTTCAGCCCATAGGAACTTGGGCAGTCCGGCATGTATCCTCATGCTTCTGGCACGTTCATTCAAAGTTCTGTTCATGCACTCTGCTACGCCATTTTGCTGTGGTGTCATGGGAACTATTTTCTCCATCTTGATCCCGTTGTTTGCGCAAAATTCTTTGAATCTACTGTCTTTGTACTCTCCTCCGTTGTCTGACCTCAACCGCTTTATCTTCAGACCAGTTTCATTTTCTACCATGACCTTCCATTTTCTGAAGGTATCAAAGACTTCTGATTTCTATCTTCAGACCAGTTTCATTTTCTACCATGACCTTCCATTTTCTGAAGGTATCAAAGACTTCTGATTTCTTCTTTAGAAAATAGACCCATACCTTCCTTGTAGAATTATCAATGAAGGTGACATAGTATAGTGAGCCTGCAAGAGATGAAACTGGAGATGACCCCCATACGTCGGTATGAACCAATTCTAACATTTCTGTCTTGGGTGTCTTGCCAATCTTTGCAAAATTGACTTTCTTCTGTTTGCTAAAGATGCAATCCTCGCATAGGCCGACATCTACATTCTTCAGATCCGGCAGCTTACCTTTTGACAGAAGTGTCTTCATCCCTTTCTCGCTCATATGGCCAAGCCTTTGGTGCCATAGGTTTGATTTTTCATCTGCATCTGTTACTGCAATGATATTCTCTAAGTTAGAGGTTATATAGAGAGTACCATTTTTCTTACCTCGAGCAATGACGAGTGCTCCTTTGGTAATCTTCCATTCATGACCCGAGAAGGTTGTACGATAACCCTCTCCATCAAGCTGTCCTACAGAGATTAAATTTCTTCTAAGACCAGGAATATGTCTCACTCCTTGCAACTTCCATGTGGCCTGATTTGGCAATTTTAATCGGATGTCTCCCTTGCCAACAATCTTTAAGGTTTCATCATCTGCTAGATGTACCTTTCCGAAATCACCACTGATGTAGTTCTCCATGATTTCTCGGCATGGGGTGGAGTGGAAGGATGCCCCTGAATCAAGAATCCATGATTCAATCGGACTGTTGATGCTTAGAATCATAGCATCACCTCCTTCCTCGGTCACGTTGGCAGACTCCTGTGCGCCGGTATTTTTTTGGTGCCCAGCACTCCCTCTTAAAATGACCATTCTTGCCACAATTGTAGCACTTGAAGTCTTTCTTTCCTGATCTAGATTTACTCCTTCTAGATTTTGATCTGCCATGATTTGAACTTCTTTCTAAAGTTCTTCCCCTGGACTCCGTGTGTAAAGATGAGGAGGTTAAAGCTTCACCTGATTCTCTCCACCGAATTTCTTCACTAAGAACCAGATCACGAACGTCATCGAACTTCAACTTGTTGCTTCCCGATGAGCTACTCACAGCCGTGACTGTAGCGTTCCAGCTTTCTGGTAGGGAAGAGAAAAGAATCAACGCTCAAACTTCCTCATCAAACTCAATCCCAACTGAACTCAACTGGGTTGTGACTATGTTGAGTTCATTAAGATGTTGAGCTACCGATGCGCCTTCTGTCATCCGCAAATTAAACAGCCGCCTCATTAAGTGAACTTTGTTTGAGGCAGATGGCTTCTCATACATGCTGCAGAGAGCCGCCATAAGACCCGCTGTGGTCTTTTCCTTTGCTATGTTGAAAGCAACATTACGGGATAACGTCAATCGGATAACTCCAAGGGCTTGTCTGTCGAGAAGAGCCCACTCTTCATCCTTCATATCACCTGGCTTACTTCCTGAGAGAGGTTGATACAGCTTCTTCTGGTACAGATAATCTTCGATCTGCATCTTCCAAAAGCCAAAGTCCGCACCATCGAACTTTTTAATTTTCACCTTTCCTTCATCTGCAGTCATCGCTCCCACTCGAATCTAACTTCCTCTGGATCGTTTCTGACAATTTCTGCGAACCACCGTGTATTAAAACACCTCTGTTGACAAGTCGATATCGCCGGTAAAAGTTCACTATTCACAAAATTCACTATTCACGTGAATAGTAATCTCACAGAAATTTGACAGACGTCACAACCAGAGCTCTGATACCAGTTGTTGGGAGATTACTCGGATTCCCTTATTTTCAGACTTAAGAGGAAGCAAAATAAATGCGCAAGATGGGGGACACGCAAGATTTACGTGGTTTGGCACAAAATTGCCTACGTCAATGGGCTGCTGCAGATCTTTCACTATGAAGAGAAATTTTACAGCACTCTCAATTTTCTCACAACTCAATCCCACTCTGAAAATTGCTCACAATTTTCTCTCACAAAGACTTTTCTCTAAACCTCTCTTTTCTCTCTCTTTCTCTTCTATAAGAGGAGTTGTTTCTGGGATGAGTTTTCCTTAAGAGTTTGAGGTCTATTTATAGTGTTTGGAAAAACACTATGCATCAATATTTTATTAGTGGTGGGGCCCGTGGTGGGGCCCACATACAATTGTTTTCTTGCTCTGGGATCCGTTCACCTATCCTCTTTTGATGCTTTGTCAAAAGATGCTGGCTTGGTTTCTTTGGGCGGTGGTTGCAGTCAAAAAAAAGAAAAAAATGTGAGCGGCTCCTTTAAAACATGTGGGTGGCTCCTTTTTATTTTTGGCTGTTTGCTTCTCTCAATCAGAGAAGTCCTCCCCCCTTCTTTGACTAACAACTAGGAATCCTAATAATTCTAAAACCAAAATCAAAACAAACTAGGAATCATGTTTGGCTCAATAACCTACAATCCCACAATTCTCCACCTCAGCGAAGTGTTCCCAAAACTGAGTCGACACCAACAAGAGCACCAATGTGTCATCTCTCCAAATCCGGTTGCACCAATGTGGTTGCCTACGTACCTCATCTCCCAAGGGATCAAGTCGCCCGTAGTTCATCCAATTGGCCTCGAAAGGCCTCAACTGGCAGTCATTCTACAATACTAGGATGCCATAGAGATTAATGTACATGATCTCAGGCAGTTGGGTCACTGTCCCATCTAAAGCTTCAGACACAATAAAGAGATGCTTCAAGTGTAGAGGCCTCGCGACAAGAGTCGAGATCCAAGGCAGTCAATTCACTATCAATCTACTTGGCATGATGATGGTGGGCTCAGATGGATACTTGCTCTCCATTGCATGGACTGATGGTAATGCGAAGACATTCTTTCCAAAGAAAGTCTTCTGTGGAGGTGGCAGAGCCATTTCCAACATGGAGAGTTTGGCCCCAACATCATCTTTACCGAGACCCTCCTTTGATTCCTTAGGGGAGCTAGAGAAGTTGGAAGAGGATAGTTCCAAGTACAAGGTGGTTAGAGATACCTTCTTGAAGGGACTGAAGAAAAAAGATAAGACGGCGAAGGTCACTGCTGTGTACTCCTGCAAACACTCATCGACCTTTGGGGCTAGCTGGTCGAGGGCCTATGAACGGGTGGCAGAGATCACAGCCGAGACCAAAACAACAGGAAATGTTAGTTATGGATGGTATGGGTCAAATCCTCAAAGGATGCAAGAGATAAGTGGAAAAGGATTTGGACTTGAAGATGCACTACATGGTGCATTTGGTTGTGGCATTTACTTTGCGCCAGAAGAACACCCCAGCCTAAGGTACAATCACTTAACAAACCTGTGCTTTTATACTCTTTTTTCACATTTATTTTAGAGTTGTTATCAATATTCGTAATATTAGTGTATAAATGCATGTGTATGCCTGATTTATTTTTAGTTTTGAAAATTCTAGTAGAGGCACAAGTTCATGTACCAACTGAACCAATCACTCCCTTAATCTATATATGCACCATTCGCAGAGAGATATGACTAGAATGGCATATCAATGAAACCATGGATTTTTCTCAACATATACTTGTTCTCGTAATATATTGAGATATCTTGACACTTCTAGATATTTGTAGATGATTCAATATAAAAAGCTCACAACAACTTAACTTTACAACCCAATTACATGTCTTTAACATAAACTTGCAGAAAAAACGGTTACATGCGTACAGAATTCAAGACCAGGGCAAAAGAGTTCCTTACCCAAATCAAAATCAGAATGCTTGGCGTGCCTCCAAACTTTCATAAAATTATCAGCAAAACTTGTGCTCAAAGTATATTTTCTTTAGTGGAATTTTAAGCAAACCATCCTCGCCACTATTAGCCTTGTTGGTCGCAAGGTCACGCCCGCCGCCGCGGAAGCGATATTACCTGAGAGAGAGCCATGACTATTATTGTCACAAAAGCACAAGTCAACCTCTATATTCTGGTTTTTCAAAGGAAATGAGAATAGATAGTGAAATTCTTATTTCTCAAAGGAAACAAGAATCGAAAGTGATATATTTCATCAAAGTGAAATATACACTCTTCCTCTCATCAGTTCTAAGACCGAATATTGAGGGAACCTACAAGCTATGACAACTCACAGATAAGACAAATACAAACACGAGATTTACGTGGTTCGGCAAACTTGCCTACGTCCACGGGAGGGGGGTTTCACTATGAGGAGAATACCAAACTTTACAAGCTCTCTCTCAACTCACTCTTTCTTTTCTCTAAAAAAAACAACCCACTTATTTTTCTCACTAATTTCCCCACACCCAAACACTACACAACTACCTCCTATTTATAGGAGAAAGAACCCGAAGTAGCAGGCGGGCAGAACGCGCGGGAACGAAAAAACTCGGCGCTGGAAAAGAGCTCGCGAGGGTTGGTAGGCGACGTGGGCGTTAGGCTTGATGCGGGCGCGGAGCAACGCACGAACTTGGGCAGGGCATGGCCACGTCCTCGTCCGCGTGTGAAAGGAGACGAGAGGCGCAAGAACTCGAGCGGTGCACGACATCGTGGCCGCACAGAGGACGAACGCACGTGGGCCCTCCCGACCCCACGATCACAATTCTCCACCTCGTACATTATTTGATAAACCTCAAATTTTGGATGAACACCAGAAGAACCCCATGAACACCACTAGAGAGATCCAGGCCACACCAGGCCAAACCAGCTGTGCCACTATATCGCGGCTGCCTACGTACCCTCCACCGGGATCAAGCTAACCGTAGTTCTGTAACTATTCTCCAACATAGTCTCCACCTCACCTCCATCACCGCCCCGAAGGGCCTTGCCCTCTTGGGCATCTCAACACGGGCTGATATGAAGCAAGTCCAAGCAATGCTGGAACTTGCTACCTGTGACCACCTTGGTTAACATGTCCGCGGGATTCTCATTCGTGTGCACCTTCATGAGAGAAATATTACCTTCCTCTATGACATCCCGCACAAAATGATACCTGACATCGATATGCTTGGTACGAGCATGATGAACTTGATTCTTCGCCAAGTGAATCGCACTTTAACTGTTGCACCACAAGTTCACGCTTTCCTGCTCGATCCCCAAGTCGTCTAGAAGACCCCACATCCATAATGCTTCCTTCACTCCCTCCGTCATAGCCATGTACTCAGCCTCTGTTGTAGAAAGTGTCACTGTAGTCTGCAACATCGATCGCCAACTAACTGGAGCTCCATGTATCCTGAATACATACCTAGTAGTAGATTGTCGTCTATCTAGATCGCCCGCATAATCTGAGTCCACATACCCGTTGATCTGACATGTATCTCCACCAAAACACAGACCCGTATCCGCGGTACCTTTCAAGTACCTCAGGACCTATTTCACCGCTTCCCAGTGCGTCATTCCCGGATTTGCCATGAATCTGCTGACCACACTAACCGTCTATGAAATATCAGGGCGTGTACGGACCATTGCGTACATTAAGCTGCCAACTGCACTAGCATAAGAGACACGATCCATGTGTGCCTTATCTTTCGCTATAGTGGGAGATTATTTACCTGAAAGCCTGAAATGTTGAGCCAATGGAGTCACCACCGACTTAGCACTTTGCATCCCGAACCTCGTGATCACCCGCTCTATGTAGCCCTTCTGACTCAAGAACAATCGCCGATTCGCCCGCTCTCTTCTAATCTCCATACTCAGTATTTTTCTTGCAGCGCCCATATCCTTCATCTCGAACTCTTTGCTGAGTTGAGATTTCAGCTTATCTATCTCCATCTTGTTCTTCGATGCAATAAGCATGCCATCCATATATAACAGAATATAGATATAATCACCTCCACGAAGCTTTCGAATGTAAACACAATAATCATAGTCGCTTCAGGAAAATCCATGCTTCATCATGAAGGAGTCAAATCACTTGTACTACTGCCGAGGATATTGCTTCAATCCATATAGTGATTTCCTCAAGCAACATACATGATTCTCCTTATCCTCAACCTTGTAACCCTCAGGTTGATGCATGTAGATCTCTTCATCCAATTCTCCGTGCAAGAAGGCCATCTTAACATCGAGTTGTTCCAGCTCAAGATCACCATGAGCAATAATACTCAATAGCACCTGAATAGAGGTGTGTTTCACCACCGGAGAAAATATCTCATTGTAATCCACACCTTCTCTTTGTGCAAACCCCTTGGGCACTAGCCTCGCCTTGTACCTTATTCCACCGAGCTCTGAAGGATCTTCCTTTCTTTTATACAGCCACTTACAACCTATAGCTTTCTTTCCTACGGGCAATAGGACCACCTCCCATGTTTGGTTCTTCCGGAGAGATTCCATCTCCTCCTCCATCGCAGCCAACCAACTCTCACTATTCTTGTCTCAAATAGCTTCCTTGAAGGAGACCGGCTCATCTTCCTCCACCAAGAGTGCGTATTCCACCAAATTAACCTGCCCATAGTGCTTCAGGGGTTGATCAGCCCCCAGCTTCTGTACCTGCTTGTATACTCGCCTTGGCCTAGTGGAAGCCAAGCTATCATCGAGCTGCTGTTGTTGTAGTCCTCCTCCTGCTCAAGCTCATCATCTACCTGATTTCCCACTTGAACACGACTAGAACCTGGTTGGTCTTTCGATTCTATCTCAATAACCTGTGACTTAGAAGTCCTAACAGTCTCAACACCACCATCCTTGGGCACCTTAGCAATCATGGACTTCTCATCAAAGGTAGCATCCCTGTTGATCACGAACTTCGAATCTTCTGTACACCAAAGGCGGTAGCCTTTTACGCCCTTTGCATACCCCAAGAAAATTGCCTTCTTGGCCCTCGCGTCAAGCTTTCCCTCGTTGACGTGATAGTAGGCGGTACACCCAAAAATTTGGAGCCTCTCATAATCTGCATGCTCCCCTGACCACACCCGATAGGGTGTATCACCGTCCAATGTTGAATGTGGAGATCGATTCACTATATAGCAAGCTGTAGCAATCGACTCTGCCCACCATTCTTTACCCAAACCAGCATATGATCGCATACTCACTGCTTTCTCCCGTAGTGTTCGGTTCAGTCTCTCCGCGATCCCATTCTGCTGTGGTGTAGATCTAACTGTCCAGTATTTAGCTATGCCCTCCTGATCACAGAACTCCTTAAAGGCACCATCTGTGTACTCTGTACCGTTGTCAGATCTCAGCGTCTTCAATTTCTTCCATGTTCTGTTCTCAACCATCGCCTTCCACTTCTTGAATGTCTCAAATACCTCATTCTTATACTTCAGAAAATAAATCCAAGCATACCTAGAATGATCATCTATGAATGAGACAAAATATCTGGAACCACCCTTGGAAGTTGTTGAAGCCGGACCCCAAACATCTGTGTGCACATAATCTAGTATCCCTCTGCTCTTGTGATTGCTTCTCAGAAATTGAACCCTATGCGCCTTTCCATACACACAGTCCTCGTAAAAATTCATGCAAGGCTTCTTCAGATTCTTCAACAAACCCTCCTTACCAAGCAGAACCATATCCTTCTCTGACATGTGCCCAAGCCGCCTATGCCATAACCATGTGTGCTCACATGGGTCTCCACCACTTCCTTCAGCTCCAACTGCTGCATCTCCTGTCACCGTCGTACCCGAGAGAGTATATAGATTACCATGACGAACACCCTTCATCACTGTTAAGGAACCCCGAACAACCCTCTTCACTCTGTTCTCTGTTACAATCTTACAACCACCGGAGTCCAAATCACCGACTGAGATGAGATTCTTCCACAAGTCGGGAACGTGTCGTACGTCCGTCAGGGTTCGAACCACTCCATCATGCATCTTGATTTTGATATCACCTAGCCCTACCGTTTTACAAGCATGGTTATTCCCTATCAATACGGTTCCACCATCAATGCTCTTGTAGGTAGTAAACCACTTCCTATTTGGACACATGTGGTAAGAGCATCCAGAATCAAGAATCCACTTCCCAGAGGTATCCTCACCACCCGTGATGACATAACATTCCTTATCGCTCCCTTCCCCTGAAGCGTAGCTCGCCTCTTTCTTGCCTTCTCGTCTTTCAGTCTTGTTGTTGTTCTTTTTCCCACCTACTCTCTTGTTAGGACAATCGACTTTAAAATCCCCAACTTCACCGCATTTGAAACACGCTCGTCCCGCAAGAGGTATCGATTTAGATCTAGACTTTCCTCCCTTGCCTTTTCCTCGCTCATTACCTCTTCCTCTGGCAAACAGTCCCTGCGCTTGTTCTTTGTTACCACCAGTGGCCATATCACTAGTTACAATTTTTTGAAGGTCATCCGCTAGAAGCGTTGTTCTAGTCTCATCCATCGACAAAGTATCACCCACAAGTATCAGTGTTTGTACCAGGTTCTCATAAGACTTCGACAGAGATAGAAGTAGTAGAAGCGCATGATCCTCGTCTTTCACTGTCACCTTACTGTCTTTCAAATCCGATATGATCCTATCGAACTTGTTGATGTACTCCCGGATTGACGAGCCCTCCTCCATCTTGCAAGTATACAATTTGGATTTTAAATAGATCTGGTTCGTTAGACTCTTCGTCATGAAGGTGCTTTCTAACTTCAACCACACGCCCGCAGCCGTTTCCTCCCCGTCCACCAAGAAAGCTACATCCCTTTTAAGGCAAAGGATAATCGATGCCCGTGCTTCCAGATCCAGCTCCTCCCAATCCTCATCAGATATATTTTTGTTCTTCTCTTTTTTAGCCAAAGCCTTGTGCAATTTTTACGAAATCAGCGAATTTTTCATCTGCATCCTCCAATAGGAAAAATTATTTTTCCCATTAAAATTTTCAATCTCGTATTTACCAATTTTACTTGTTTTACTTGTAGAAGCCATTTTCCGCTTGTATTATGTAAATCCGCTTCTCTCAGGAATTTTTAACAAGTTCTTTGTGTTCACCACACAATAGTCAACCACCACCTCAGATTAGTAGCTTAACCACTGCCAATCTGAATAAGGGCTCTGATACCAATTGTTGGTCGCAATATCATGCCCGCCGCCGCGGAAGCCATATCACCTGAGAGAGAGCCCTGTCTATTGTTGTCACAAAAGCACAAGTCAACCTCTATATTCTGGTTTCTCAAAGGAAATGAGAATAGATAGTGAAATTCTTATTTCTCAAAGGAAACAAAAATCGAAAGTGATATATTTCATCAAAATGAAATATATTTCATCAAAGTGGAATATACACTATTCCTCTCATCAGTTCTAAGACCGAATATTAAGGGAACCTACAAGCTATGATAACTCACAGATAAGACAAATACAAACACGAGATTTACGTGGTTCGGCAAACTTGCCTACGTCCACGGGAGGGGGGGTTTCACTATGAGGAGAATACCAAACTTTACAAGTTTTCTCTTAACTCACTTTCTTTTCTCTCAAAAAAAACAACCCACTTATTTTTCTCACTAATTTCCCCACACCCAAACACTACACAACTACCTCCTATTTATAGGAGAAAGAACCCGAAGTAGCAGGCGGGCAGAGCGCGCGGGAACGAAAAAAACTCGGCGCGGGAAAAGAGCTCGCGAGGGTTGGCAGGCGACGTGGGTGTTGGGCTCGATGCGGGCGCGGAGCATCGCACGAACTTGGGCAGGGCATGGCCACGTCCTCGTCCGCGTGTGAAAGGAGACGAGCGGCGCAAGAACTCGAGCGGTGCACGACATCGTGGCCGCACAGAGGACGAACGCACGTGGGCCCTCCCGACCCCACGATCACAAGCCCTATAATTCAGTGTTTAACACGTCTAAAGCTTTTATTAGGTAAAATTTAATTTGTACCCTGTCTAAGAGCTAGTCAGTTTTTCAATCCAACTAATAAGCAAACCTATGTTCTGCAGCTCCTCATTTCTTAAACCTGACATTAACGGGGAGTATCATATAATGCTCTGCAAGGTGACATTAGGAAACACCGAGACGATCAGAGAGGGATCTAACCAGTATGCTCCTTCTGAAGACCATCACGATAGCGGCGTCAATGATAATGAGAATCCAAAGTGCTATGTTTTATGGACGAAAAACATGAGCGCTCACATACTTCCCCAATACGTTATCAGCTTCAGAATTTCAGAGAAACTAGAAGGTAACTTCTTGAATGATCCTATAGTGTAAACAATTTTACTTGTGAAGTATTTGTGATGAGAAATGATAAAATGAGGGTTCATGAAACTTTAGGGTATTGGAGAAGCCCACAACACCTGCGAGCTTCATGTTATCCACTGCTTGAAAGATCCATCGCACTACGATCAGCTGACGGGGGTATAAATTCATCATTGTTGTTGTTCTTTTGGCCATTATTAATTATTATCATTGTTGTTATTGTAATCCTTAAAGATGAAGCAATAAAGTAGTAAATAAATTCTGAGAATATGCTTGATTTAATTGGGTGTTTTAATCAATTCGGTCTATTCTTTTGATGTCTCAGTTGTACATAAACAGATTTATGGCACAAGACATACGTAACACTCATGTGCAGAGACTTGAGAAAAGTTCAGTCTTCATCCTAAATTAGAAAGATTTAACATTTTCCTACCAACTCAAAATTTCTCACTGACCCATGATACAAGTTATTATGAAGCAGGAATTATAGAGGATTTCCCCTTAAACAGTTTTCAACAAATAACAGGAGTATAGATTTATTACAAGAAAAAGGAGAGCTGACATGAAGAAATCCATCACGGGGAGCTTGAGCTGGGTTTGGAAATAATTCGACGCTTGAATCGATTTCGTTTTCATACGACTACAGATTTTTATGAAGCCCAGTAAAATAAAGCGTAAAGGAGACATAAGAGGCATGTAAGGCGTATGTTGAATAGTCCCACATCGACTCTAGGCACGATGATAATTATGGCAGACACCATATAACGAGCTCACGGGCCACGGGATAGAGCATACCTTTCTCGGCCTTTTGGCTAAGATCAAGTGTAGTATCTGTTCTTATCAGTTTAATATCTGATACGTGGGCCATCGGCCCACTATGATATTAAATTAATTTTTGTTGGGGGAGGGCCCATCACAGCAGCTTGCTGCTGGGGCACTCGAGCGTCGCCCGTGTGTTGCACTACTGCATGGGCGTGGCGCGTCCCTACCAAATCAAAATTCAAGCTTTATAGTCGCCCACGCGTTGCACTACTGCATGGGCCTGGCGCACCCCTATCACTTAGTTGATATGCACTTAGAACAATAGGACATCTAGATAAAAATGGCCCAACATTAAGATTTTGGAGGCGACACAGTTCATGTTTCATATAGACTTCTCTAATTTAGTAAAGACAAAAGGATGAAAAATAGCCCTTCGCCCTTAAACATCACCGTTATCTTTGACGAAAAAGATGAAGTTACCCCTCATCCATGAAATATCAACTTTATCTATTATTATTATTATTTCGATTAATTTTCTATCGCTGAGAAGTATTTTTTGCCTTCTGGTCACACATTTGACACATAACATATCAAATTAGACGGTGCTACACTGGGTTTTTTTTTCTCTGTGTTTTTTTTTTGGGTGGGTGGGTGAAAAATCTCAAAGTGGTTTAATAGAATTAAAGAAGTTTTTATGAGAGTTATGTGCAATCCCTCAAAGTTCAGGGGATTTTTCAAAATTAATCTGATTTTTAGTTTCTCTATTTTTAATGGTGCAGGTAGAATATTTTTGAGCAAAAGAGTAGAAAGGATAATAAAGAGGACGGTGTCAGTCGATGTTAACATCTTTCGGTAAATCTTAAGTACACACTACTTAGATTTTGCACAGAATTTAGCATTGAACAACAGAAGGAATGAGCTTTAAATCATTAAGCTAAAGGTGGTGGTATAGGCAACTATGTTCGATTCTCTAACTTGTATTCTTGTGTTGAATTCTTTTGCGTAGAATTTTTACTTCTTTTTGGGTAAATGAGATCATTTCATTAACCAGCTAGAAAATTATATGCACACTCTCCCCAGTCATATGCGTGTAAGTAATATGTGTGTCATTTTGAGATGATCATTAGCATATATTTGGGGTTCAAACTATTCCAATCGGTTTTTATTAGATTAATTGTCATCGCTAAAAACTATCTTTGTTAAGGAGCTTGGATCAAAAGCAAATGTCATGACAGACCAATTAGCTTTGAGTTTGGACATAGAACAGGTATCTTATATGAACAATATGTAACTATGCTTCTTGGACCAAGTGTTGTACCTTTTTTTTTGATAATAGGAGTCATACTTGATTGAGTATTATAAAATGAGAAAAAAACTTCTAACCCACAAAATAAAAATGCAAATTCGCCTCCACACCAATAATAAGTCCACAAGCTTAATACTTCCAAAATCAAATTTTGTAAGCAATCACCCCCCTTTAGCTCATGTGTCTTCATCAATGTACTTTATTTTCGAAAAACGGAACCCCATGTAGATGTTACGCGCAGCGGAAATTTCGGCAGCACTTCGGCAGCACAACAAGAGAGTCAGATAGCAATAAGAATTTCCGTCTCACCAAGGAGACAAGAATCTGAAGCGGATATCTCAACAAAGTGAGATATCGGCTCTTCCTCTCATCAGTTCTAGGACTGACCTATCGAGGGATCCTAAAAGCTATTACAAATCACACAAAAGCAGTACAACCAATTTTTACGTGGTTCGGCAAATTGCCTACGTCCACGGGGCAAGGAGGGGGGAGATCTACTATTAGAGGGAGAGATACAACTAGGGTTTACAATCACTCAATCTAAACCCTCACACAATCTCTCAAACCCTCACACAAATATCTCTCAAAGGGATGCACAAAACCCTAAAAGAGACTACACAAAATCTCCTCAACTGCAACCACTATCTCCTCTCTGCCTTCGTACTTGCTCAGCCAAATTGAAGACAGCCGCAAAAATCCACCGTGCACTCGCAACCTTGCTCCCAAATAATCGCCTGCACTCGGTTCTGTACCGCAGCCGCAAAAAAAGAAATCAAGACCTCCTGCGCACGATTCACGAAAACCTAGGTATATATATATAGGGGATGTATTCGGGTGAATGTTGAATCGGGTGGGCCGGCCAGGTTGTCTCACGAGCTCACGTGCTCGTTCTCATGCGGAAGGGAGGTGGAAAACGTCACATGCTCACATGCTGTGGCCCCCACTCACAGTAGAAAGTGGGGAGGTATGGTTACGCCCATAACCGCATAACCCCTCCATCATGGGTAGTTATGTCAACTAACCATGCCCAAATCGAAGCCTACAAAAGTCTCTCTCCCTCTCTTGTGAATAGTAATCGTAGATTTCAAAACAATGCTTATGAGACTATAGCCATCAAAACTAGAGAGTTATAGACGCATTTGAGTTGTGAATTATATTTATGTTTTATCACTATAAACGGGAGTTTGACAGCGATTATCTTGGAGTGGATTAATATGGTCGGCGGTAATAAAGATCCCGGAATGCTTCGAATCGGTGACATTCTAATTCCGCATTTCTGATTTGTTGGTTATCCTCTAAATATAATATTGGTATCAGAGCAATAAGGCTAGATTTCGTGCTCTAGGATTAAATAAGATCATTCATATTGATTGATATTGATATGTCCATTAAAAGAAAGCTTGTTAGATGTTTAATGACAACTTTTAATATACTTGTTGTTATGATCTTATATTGGCACGAATAATAGATTATACAAATTTGATTATCCCTGCAAAATTTCGTTTGAAACCATCCTGTGGTTTGAGAGATACCTAATTTTTAATTTTAATACGTTTTGAATAACCTGATGTTTGCAGTCATATATCTCTCTGGTTACTAAGTTATTTGATTGGTTATAAATCACTATGTGTATCTTCATGAGAGCTTTTCATAAACATGTCATTTGCATTTTTTGGATTACGGGTCAAAAAAGTTATGTTAATTCAAAGTTGAGATGATTCAACATAGTTTATTGTGCAAGGTTGAATATGGCATGTGTGGTTTGCAATTTGACGCCTGTTTTTTTTCCATTACAGACACCATAAAATGATAGTTTTTATCAAAATTGCACAAAAGACCTTATATTTACAAGAAATTTGTAAGGAGAGACAATCTGATTTTATATAAAATTGCAGAGAAACCCAGAGTTTATGAAAACTTACAAATAGACCCAGTTTTGTGTAAACTTATAGTTTAGTCTAAAACATTTTTTTTCGCAAATAGACCCATTTTTTGGAAAATTGCAATATTTTGACCTGTTTTGGGAAATTTCCATATTTGACACAATTTTTGAAAAATTACAGTCTCGCCTACTTTTTTTATAATGTTACAATTGTATCTAGAAATTTTTAATTAATTGTAGTTTGACCCTATACAAGTCTATAAGTTCTTGTTATTTCATGGCTTGTTTTGCATAAAAGTAGTATTTTTTTCTACAAATTAATTGACATGCTTAATTTTTTGATTAACATGCTGAATAACATGTCATGATATATTTTTGAGGGCTAGTTTTTAGGTTGGTAGAATAATTTTTAAATAATTTTTCTCGCCTAATTCCTAGATTTTGCACACAATTGAATGATTTTAATAATGTTGCAACTTTGGTAACAGGAGATGATTGGATGTATTATTTCTTTTAATTCCCTCACTTAGTTAGATTATTATTAAATTTCAAGATAATGTAACAATTTTTTTTGTGAATTGTTCTAGTTATTAATTATGTGTCATTTATTATGTTTCTAGTTGATTATGGCTGCTGCAAAGAGCATTGCTGCTGACCTCAATAAGAGGAGAAACTGAATGAGAAGAATTATGGTGTTGGGCATCGCAAGATTCAGTATCTTCTCAAGGAGATAGATATGCTGGAAACCATAACATAACCAGTGTTTGAGCTTGAGCCGGGAAACTCTGCGCAACATAAATGTTATCATGAATCTTTTCAAGTGTGGAAGAAGAAGGACCGTGTTGCTCGCATATTGATGCTGAGTAGCATGAGAGATGATATCACGCTGTATTTTGAGAGGTATCGATCAGCTATGATTGGGATGCTGTTAAGCTCCAGTATGGTGGGACTTCCACTAGTAGATAGCGCCAGCTCACTCTCAAGTTTGACAGTTATAAGAAGCGTCATGATCATTCAACGAGGCAACATCTTACTGTTATGTCAAACATGATTAGCGAGTTTCGAGTGGCAGGATATGAGCTTTTTGATGAACAACAGGTTTGTTAGACCCTAGAGGGGGGTCTTAAGGCAATAATTGTGCAATAAAATTTAAGACAATGTAATACACCACAAAATAAAAAGCCAAAGAAAAGGAGATAATGTTAGAAATCGTTATCCAAGTGACGCGCAATTTATTCACGAGGTTCGATCCGCTAACCTACGTCCCCGCTCCCCACTCTCGAGGAGAATCCACTACACAACCCGGTTTG